GTTCCCCTTTTGGTAGTTCATTATTATTCGCATACAGAAAAGCAACAGATTTTTGGATTTGTGTGTGTGTTTTGTTACTTCACTGAATTTATCACTTCTAATAGTTTTGTGAAGGAATATTTAGAGTTCTGTTATGTCACCTGCAAATATAATGACAATTTTACTTCCTTTACAATTTGGATGCCTTTTACTTCTTTTTCTTGTCTCATAGGTCCATTCACACCCTTGCAGATGGAGGAGTTTGTTCCTCGTTTTTATGGCTGAGTCCCATTCGGTTACACGTTCTCCTTTACCTACTCATCTGTCGATGGCATTTAGTTGCTTCCATAAGCTGGCAATTGCGAGTAACGCCTCAATGAGTAGGTGGGGTGCGTGTCTTTTCAGTTGAGTGAGTTGATTTCTGCAGATAAATACCCCTGGGAGTGGCAGTGCTCCGTTGTGTGCGGGTCCCTCTTGTCTGATGTCAGTATTGACACCCAGCTTTTTTCATTTCCATGTTCGCAAATGACCTTTGTTTCTGTCGCTTTACTTTGTGGTGTTTTATTTGAAGGTAGTCACTTGTAGACAGCGTATGGAAGGGGCCCTTTTTATCCATTCACCAATGTTTGTTCTTTGATTGGAGCATTTCTCCATTTGCATGTAAAGTAATTGTTTGGACTTTTTTTGTGGGGCACCCCCCCCCTCTGTTCTGCACGTCCCGCCCCTGGCGGCACCTCCCACCGGGAGGTCATAGACACTCAGGGCGTGGCTGGTGCAGCCCTAGACCAGAGTGGGTAAGTAATGGTTGACACATGGGTATCATAGGGCCATTTTATTATGCGTAGTTTCTGATCTGAATTTTCAGTTTTCTGGTAAGCTGTTTTAAGCTCTCTGATCGGAAATGATGGCCTTGGTTGGCGAAGCAACGTTGGTTGTAAGTGCTGGTGTTTATCACTGAGTCCGCCGTGCCTGTCCCTCCGCCTGCAAAGACTTGGGGGAGAGATCAGCTGACAAGTCTTATGGGAGAAAACTGCTCCTCTCTTGCTGCTTTTCACATTCTTTGTCTTTAATGTTTGTCATTTTAATGATGCTGTGTTTAATTCTGAAGGACCTCTTTGGGTTCTTTTTGTTTGGGTCTCTCTGAGCTTCCTGGACAGGTTTGTGGTCTTCCTTCATCAGCTTAGGCAACTTTCTCGTTATTTCTCCAAATAGGTTGTCAGTCCCTCGCTCTCCCTTCTGGCACCCTCTTGACATGAATGTTGGGACAGTTGAAGTTGTCCCAGAGGTCACTGCCCCTGCCCCTGCACTTCCCTCGTGGTTTTGGATTCTTTGGTCCTTTTGCTGTTTTCATTGGGTGTTTTTTTCTACTTCTTGATCTTCCAAATTGCTGATTTAGTTCTCTCCTTCATCTGAGCTACTGGTGATGCCCTCTAATGCAGGCTTCATTTGTTAGCACATTTTTCATTTCTGAGTGGTTTTTTCCGTCTCCATTTTGTTGATGTTCACACCAAGTTTATCTGCTCTGCCCCGAAGTTCATTAAGCGTCGGTAGAACTACCGTGCTGCACTCTGCATGTGTTAGATGGCGCGTCTCCATTTCGTAGAGTTCCTTCCCTGGCAGGGTGTGCGTGCGTGTTCTTTCACTTGGATGGTGCCTCCCTGTCTCCTCCTGGAGGCTCCCTCCATGTGCTTCCCTGTATTGGGTAGAGCCGCTACATCTCCCAGTCTCAGTAGAATGGCCTCACATAGCTGGTGTCCTGTGGGACCCCCCTGGTCACCTGAGCTGGGCGATGTAGGTGATCCCAGGAGGGGGGCTGTTGCATGCACCCTCCTGTTGTTGTTGAGCCTTGATTGCTGTTGGCATGTCAGCGGGAGGGGTTTAACCCACAGCCAGTCAGCTGTGAGGACTGGTCTCCACCACTGTGGAGGCTATTTTGTGTGGTGAACGCATGGAGGACTAGTAAAGGGGAGGGAAGGTCCCTGCCGTACCTGCCCTCTTGTGTTTCACTCCCGCAGGTGATGCTGTCATATGGCATGAAGCTGTCCGCAAGGTGCACTGGCTCTGGAGCCTCCTGGGAGGTACAGGCCAAGGTCAGCCGCCACCTTTGCCCTTCCCTAGGGCCAGCAGCATTAGCTGCAGTTACCTATAGGTGTGGTTACCTGTGCTGGGCTTAGAGATGCCCGGGAGAGGCCAGGTGGGAACCAAGGCTGGCTGCTACTAGCGCCAGGCCTGGGGCCACTTGAGGAAGGGTGCAGGGCATGCCAAGGCTAGACGCTGCTTATACAGAGTTTGGTAAAGTCAGCAGCAGAAACCTCGGGAGGTTTTTTTTTGTGTGGAAAAACCACTGGAAACAGGAGGGCCCACAGGCTAGGTGAGGGCAGGGTCTCAGGATCACTGAGACCGGGCGAATGGTGTGAGCTGCAGAGGCGATGTGGCAGTGGCTGAAGGCCCTGCAGGGCAGGGCTGAGCAGAGGAGCAGTGGCTGTTGCGGGCACTGCTCTCCAGGCCAGAGCTGCCCCTCCAGCCCTTGCCCTGAAGCTGGACTGTGTAATTCCTCTGTGGCCCTGTGGCCCAGGCCCTGTGTCTGGGCTGTAGTTCAGAGGGAGAGTCCCAGGAAGTCTGTGCACTGGCCCTTTAAGAGAACTGCCTGCGACTCCGGTAGCCTCTATTTCACTCAGCCATCATATTCACTGGTGGTTCAGCCATAAGTGATGGGGCTTCTCTGACAGTGGAAGCTGGGTTAGGGCCTGGAGTAGGGTTGGGACCTCCATTATCCCTCCCAATTTTCAGCAGGCACATGGCAGTGTGGGACCATCCTGTTCCACATCTCTCTACCCCTACCTCTTCCAACATGGCTTCTAACCTGTCTTTGCATAATTTTTAAATTTCTCAATTACTTTTGGCATTCATTGTTTTGTGTTAGTTTCAGGTGTAAATCCTATGCTTTTGCAGTTAGACCGTCATGCACTTTAACAAAGTGGCCCCAACATGTCTGGTTCCCGCCTGGTCCAGCAGTTATGCCGCTAATCGTGTCCAGGACTATCTGTACCTGCCGGTCTGCGTGCCGTCAACCCCAACCTCCTCCCCCACCAGCCCAGCTGGTTTCATGAGTCTGTGTCTTTTTCTGAGTCATACGGTGTCTTTTCCGACTTGGTTCACTGAGCATACCTTTGAGGTTTATCCATGCTGCCTGAAAAGGTAAGGTTTTCTTATTTTTTAGGGCTTGGAAACACTCCGTCGCAGGTACATACCACCACTTTTTTATCCCCTCATCTGGGTTGCCGCCATGTCTTCTGATTGTACATAAGAGTGTGTGTGCTTTTGAATTAGTGTTTCGAGTTATTTTTAATACATACCTAGAAGTGGAATTGCTAGGTCATAATTGCTTTTGATTTTTTCAGGAAACTCCACACTGGTTCCTACAGTGGCTGCCGCAGTCAGCATCCCCACCCCATTGTGCATGAGGGTCCCTTTTCTCCACACCCTCAGCAGCACGTGTCTGTGGATTTATTGGGGGTGACCATTCTGACGGGTGTGAGGTGGTATCCCAGTGTGCTTTTGTGTGTTTCTGAGGGTCAGTGATGTTGAGCGTTGAGCATTTGTTCATGTCTAGCGGCCATCTGTGTGCGCTCTTCGGAGAAGTGACTGTTCAGATCCTCTTACCATTTTTAATTGGACTGATTTTTGGTGTTGTGTGTGCTTTATAAAGTTTGTATGGTAACCCTGATCAGGATGTATCGTTAGTGAACATCGTCTCCCACTCATTGGGTTGTTGCCTTTGCCCTGCACATACTTCTCGGTGTGATGCAGTTTCAGTTATTTTTTCCCTTGTGTTTACCTTGCACGAGACATATCAAAAGAGTAAATACTGCTAAGAAATGTGAGCTGGTATCAGGTGTTACATTTAAGTCTTTAATACATTGAGTTCATTCTTGTGTAGTGTAAGAAGGCGGTCTTGTGTTTTTTTCTACGTGTATGTGTCCAATTTTCCCAGCAACATTAGTTGGACAGTGTTTACCCCATTGCACATTCTTGCCTGCATTGTCAAATGTTAACTGACTTTGTACAGAACTGTGCTTTTAGGCCAGTTATCATGGCTTTATAATATAGTTTGACATCAGGTAGTGTGATTCCTCCATGTTGTTGTTCTTTCTCAGGATTCCTGAGGCTATCCTTAGTGCCAAGACGTCTGTCCATCTGGATTTCAGGTGGTTTGCAAGGGTAGCGGGACTTTAGTTGGAATTTACATGTGGTTGGGTGGGGGGATGGGAGCCCTGTGTGTCAAGCTCTGGTGCCTGAGGGCAGGGACTGCACAGAGTGGGAAGATGGTCCTTAGAGACTAGGAAAAGGTTGTGTTCCAGGTGAGCCAGTAGGGGGACTATGGCCACAGAAGAGTGGCCTTGGAAGCCGCTTCTCCTCTGACAGCTTCTGTGGAGTTCTTGAGAAAGCCCCTCAGAGAAGCCTACAAGCCAGCCCAGTGGGATTCTTAAGGTAAGAGGAAGTGATGTTGCCCAAGTTTAAATGGGGTATGTGTGCCAATGGGGAAGTGAGTCCACCAGCGAATGTTTGAAATTGTCTGCAATAGTGAAAAACACGAGAGCAAAGTGGTGTCTTCGCAAAAGCAGTTATTTCGGGTCAGGGCTCACTGCCTTCACAGAGCAGCCTGGCGACCATAGGCAGACTCCCAGAAAGCCAGCACACAGGGTGGGCCACAGTGGGTTTGCGGCCGTGAGTGGGCCAGACACACAGTTGCTTCTTTAGATTATTAACTGCTGTGTGCACCGTACGTACACCCCACCCTGTGCAAAAGAGTTTCTGTGCAAAAAAGCCCTTTGAAAACGTGCCAGGGGTACAGGAGGGAGAACCTGCTGTGCTGACAATGTCTACTGTTCTCATCCTCCCTGAGTTCCATACAGCTCAAGGCAGCATGGGGGGGGGGGGCAGCACTGGTAGGCCCATCACTCACATCTAAGCAAGGGGGAGCAGGTCGTCTGGATCATCAATAACTTTTTCTCTCAAAATATTTTTAAGGGTAGTTTATTTTGAACTGTTTGTTAAAAGCCTAGTCTATATCTGATAACCTATACTCAATTACCATTCAAAAAATTCCATACAGATACGTTATTACAGCTGTAGAACGTCAATAGTATAGTGATGATAAAACGTGAGAACTGAAGAGCACGGGTTTCTTTACTTGTTTATTATATAAAACGCCCCCGGTGATCTCTCGTCTCCCTTTCATGGCACACGAAGAGAGGCCCTCGGGGGGACGCAGCAGCAGGAGGAGCCCTTGCATCTGGCGGGGTTCACACCGCATGGGGCTGAGGCCAGCCCGCACTGTCTTCCGTTCCAGTGAGCCGCGGTGGTGGCGCGCCGTCCTCGTTCATTGCTAACAGGTTAAAAGGATGGGAGACACGTCTTCTCCCGCCCGTGGTTTGAAAGCTGCACTGCCCTGCCAGTTCCGAACAGTCAACCTGTCGTTCTGCTTAAAACAAGGCACAAGCTCAGCATAGCAGCTGTAGCTTGTAGTGAAAGGATATATCATATGTCTCTCCTTAGTTAAAAATACATAATCCTTTTATTTTATATTGCAGTAAAAGAAATCGACATCATACACACAGAAGACTAGAAAGGGGAAGCTACTTACTTCTCGATGTCCAATAATTTAAGCCTATTTGTACTTCACCACAGTACGTGAAAGTAGTATTTAACACTTAAGTTTTGGAGTCAAATTTAATCTTTGGGGCACACGGGGGGACTAGGACTTAGAGGAGCAGCTCGCTCCCAGCCGCGCCGGCTGCACAACTCGGCTGCAATCCCCCATTAGGGCCATCCTTCCCTCATGGGCCACGCAGGCTGGGACACAAGAGGATGCCGACACGGAGGGAAGACTTTGGATTGTCTATTTAAATGCAGGTAATAAGTAATTGATCAAAATTTATTTTAAGTGCACTTTCACATGCTTCGAGTTTAAAAACAACAGACTTCCTAACGTTCTTGCAACAGGCTCGACTCATCATTTCTTTTGGCCAAATGCACTTTTCCCCAGTAAACTCAAATGACGACGACGACGAGAACACAACGAGAACAAAAACAAGCCCTGTCCTTCACCTACTAGGAAAGATGACTGGCTACAAAGCAGGTCACTGTGGACGCACGAGGACGACACGGTGGCACGAGTGGCTGGACTCTGTGGTGCGGGGACTAAAGCAGAGCTCTGAGGGCTGCAGGTAACATTCCGAGTCTCCCTTCCGTCTTTATTGATTTCAAGATTTTGCACAGAAAACTCTTTGGGGACTAGAACAGCAGCAAATGCATCACACTGTTTTCAAGACTTCAAGTTTCAAAAGCAAATTGTTTTTAAAAAAAATACAATTCCTGATTTGAGTTGGCTACAGGGACGAGGCAGAGCACGTACTCACTCGAAGGTTGGCTGCATGGCCCACGGGTGGGCACGCCCCTCCTTAGGGGGGTAGTTTGGTTGGTGGGTGTCTTTCAGTACTCAAAAAGGCTCAACCTCAAGCAGTAATAAACACAAGCAAAAGTGATTTAACCATTAAAATAAATATTCAGAAAAACCTCTCTGTACATACAAGTGAAAGGATAAGTAACACTTTCACACACAAAAATAATAATAATAAAGGCTTTGTTCATAGAAGTAGCTGACTGTGCTGTCCCAGCCCCCAGAGCCCCGGCAAGGAAGGGAGCGCGGACACGATGACTCGGTGGTCCGCTACCTCACAGCCTGCGCCCTGGGCTCCACCCTCAGCCTCATCCCTTCTAGGATACACGTTAAAATCGAAAATTTCTTTTTCCTTTCACTGGTTTCCTTTTTTCTTTTTCTTTACAGCATGCCAAATCCTTTGGCGTAAGTGATGGCCTTCAACAATCTTTCTTTGAGTTTTTCTTTGCTGGAATATTCCGGCAGTAAAAGAACATTAAAACAAGTATGAGATGTAGGTAACCTAAACAGAGAGAGGGGAGAATAGATTAGTCATGGGCAGGCAGTCTGTGCCATAGTGCAGCTTGTCAACTTCCTGCTGCTACAGCATGACTGCCCAACCCCAGTCTGTCTGTCTGTGTCCTTCACAGCTCGTGGAAAGGGGAGCGCCCTGCATCTACTGAGCCTGGTGGAGGCCCTTGCAGCTCCAGACACAAGCTCCTCTCAGTGCAGCTGCAGGGTGGGTTTTGTTGCCCACACTGTGGTAGCCGAAGTCCCTGGGAAGGTAAGTCACTTGCTTTAAGGTGGAGACACTATTGAAACTTGTTTACCTGGTGTTCATGTGTTCTCTAATACATACTAGATAACATGCCTGTGTGTGAATGATGTCATACAAGTATAAATAACCTCACATTAGCACTGGCTGGAAAGGAACAGGAATGTTTCTGCACGTGGGAACCAGGAACTCGGATCCTACTTATGTAGGGTCTTTACTCACCAAAAAGGTTAACTCGTGCCACACAGAGAGCCCTTGATTAACCAGGACTATGACACCAATAGTGACAATCCCGTGCTGGATAATCTCTTGAGCCTCAGTTAACCATTCTAAACATTACACAGTATGGCTTTCAATTCAAAATTCTGCTGGCTTCACACCAATGGGCAGAAATGCAAATCAAGTGAGCACTGCAGTACTTGTAATGTGTAGTGAGGCCAGCATTTTAAAAAAAAAGTCCTCAACAGCACAACCGTGTCTGCACTGAAGCTCAGGAGCTACTGGACAGGGCACATATGTGCTTGCAGGTGCCAGCTTTGCCGTACGCAGGCACAACTGGGCAATTACCGTTCTGTGTCCGGGCCATTTTTGGCTATGATCATCTTCAGCTTCCCCAGGCCGCCGACAGGCGCTCGGTCGGTTCCGGTCGTGAATTGCAGGAACAGTCTCTTCTGCTCATCAGTGAATGAGTGCACAATTTCCCAGAACTCCCTGGGGAGGGAAGACAGGACACAGATTGTAAAACGAATGTGGCTTTCTGGTCCGTGTTAGGACAAACTTGGAAGTTAGCATCGGGAACACTCAAGATGTGGTCTAGAAATTATACATCCACACATTTAAAGCACTTTCCTTAAGTTCAACCGTAAAAACCAGGAACCCTAAGTGTCCAACAAGAGCAAATAATGCTGTAAATGCGGGCATATCATCAGCAAAGAATGACAAGCAAATCCCATGCACTAGAAGTAACTGGAAGGAAAGACTCAGGGGGCGGGGCTGCTCTGATGTCTCCCCTCCCCCAAAGCCTTGGTGATTGACAGCAGGCTCTATCAGCCCTTGTTATACTTCAAAAACAAATGAGAAGCTCAGTAAAAGATACTAGGGAAAAAAACTAAAAAATAGGAACATTTTTAATGTTTAATTGGTGGAAGAGTGATTCAGGTACTAATTTGAAAAACTCAAGAACCCTGGTGTAGATTTCCCACGCCCATGACCACAGCGCTTCTGCCGCAGCCTGTGTTCCTATTACCAGACGGGGCTGCGTTGGCATGCGCTGCTGATTTCTGGCCCCGCTGGCCACTCTATGCTGACCACTCAGACGAGCTCTGTTCCTGCAGACGTCAGTGTCCTTGAGAAAGCAGTATAGGTACAAGCACAGGACCTTGGACCTGCAGCTCCTCTCCTTAGGTAGGACAGAGCAAAAGCCATACCACCCACACTTTGGCACAGCACCTTTCTTTGGGGGTCTGGCAGGCAGTGTGTCCACCGTAACCAGGAGCCCTCCGTCCCAGTGGCAGTCAGTCCCTCGTGCTGCAGGGCACCAGCCAGACCCTGAGGGCAGTGGACCAAACTGGCCTCTGACCAGTCTGGCCACGCTGTTAATGAACTGTTCATTCAGCGCTTTTTAGTAAATGAAAACGTAAAATCCTGGGGTTACTAATGCTGGCTTATATAATGAAACACTTAACTGGAAAAAATTGCTTTGTGTAAGGGTTAAAATTCTGAATTTACAATGTGACTATTCAGGCAAGTCAACATGACGAAAGGATCTTATGTGTTTCCACATAAAAGTGCTATCAACTCGATTGCACCCCTAAATCCTATGCATATCGCAACAGAGAAAATCTGATGAAATCACCTTGAACACAGGCCTGGGTGAAAAGCAGCAAAAAGAGCAGGAAACCCCAGGTGACGTGGGAGCTGCCGTGTGAACGCCACAGCCCATGTGCACTCCGAAGGAGAGCAAAGACCACGGGCTGGATGAAAGGGAGACCCTCGGAAGCTCCCCAAGACAGAAATGGCAGCATCAGGAAGGTGCCACGCCTGGAAGGGATGGAAGCAGCCTATGAAAATGGCCCTTGTTCCACAAGGCAGAACCAAAAAGCCAACACGCTGGGCCACAGAACACACTGTTGAAGACAAAACCATGACAACAGCCATGGAAGAGGGACAGACCCCTGTCAGAGGGAGACCACGGAGAGCCCCCAGGAGAGCTAACAGCAGGTCCAGAATCCAAATAAAGATACTGCTAAAAAAAACTACACCTGAAAAAATCTCATGAAGAAAGGGAAACCATAACCCTAAAATCCCACAAGGGAAAAACGCAACACTATTTCTTATAAAGATACAAAACTTAGGCAGAGGAAAAGGAGAATATTTAAAAATCCTCAAAGGAGAATATTTAAAAGTCCTCAAAGGAGAAGAAATGTAAGTGAAGTTTCTACCAGGACAGAGACCAAAGCACAATAAATTAAAAATATCAGTGCACTTGGCAGACAAACGACAGGGGAGAACATAATACGTGCAAACGTAGGGATGTTAGCACTTTAACTTGCCAAGAAAATGACCGGTAATGGCAGCAAAATGAAAAGATGGTAACAACTACACACAGCTCCAGGCACAAGAAAAGATGGCACCCTCATTCACAACGAGGAAAACACAAATCAGAGGAGAGAAGAATATTTCTCAGCTGGCAGGCAAACACCCAAATTTATCATTGAGAAAGTTCAGATAAAGAGTGCTCTTTCTTGCTGCTGGTGGGAGTGCAAATGGTGCATTTTCTGTGTGGAGCACGATGGTTTCCAACACAACTACTACAAGATGCACCGGTCCCACCTTCAGCAGTGTGTTGATGCCGTCCCGCACGTGTGTGAGGAGTAATCCTTACGTAGGATGATTAACTGCTTCTACCAGCAAAACCGTGGGACTGACTGCTGTGGCCATGAGCATTAAGTGTGCAGCCAAATGAAAGAAAGGGGAGACAGCTCTGCCTTGGTTCCTGGCATTGTAGGGAAATGTCGCACTAGCTCTGACACGTTGAGAAATATACCTGCAAGCAAAATCATTTAATTGCAAAGGCCGTATACCTCATACTTATAAATGCCAGTCCCCAATAATTTTCTTAAAAGAAGAACACCTCAAAGTTTAACAGTCTAAGATTGAAACATTAAATATACAAAACCCACGAGCTCATCATAATACTCAGAAAACAGGGCAAAAAAGTAAAAAGTCAACTTCAATTGCCAGTGTTAAAATTATATTAATTGCATACTCTAAAATTGCTTTAAAATATGGATATAGAATTACCACAAGAAAACTATTTTCATTTCGAAATCATCATTTTTCCCCCTTCTCAGGTAAGGGTATCTTACTAGGCGCCAAAGTCTGGGGATAAAAGGCAGGTGATGGTGTAATGTTCATTTTGCTTCCATGAAAAAGAACAAGCAGGATGGGAAGATAAGACTTACAATCCCCCCAAACCCTAACAGCACACAGACAGGAAACCCCACCAGGAGCTCAGAGACCTTGCAGCGACACAAGGGTGGAGCTTCATGACTGCTGATCAGCAGCTGCAGAGCACCAGCAGTGTGGGAGAAGTTGCATAGGATCCAAAAATACAAGGGAGTCTAAGCCCTTAAAACTCTGGAGCACCAAATTCACCTCAAAGCACACACCAAACTGAGAAGGAACTTCTGAGGTAATGTCCAAACAGACAAGATCAAGGATAATAAAAGCAAATAAAAACGTAAAACACCAATTAAGTTTTTAATAATTGTTCCAAAACAAACGCACAGCCCTCCTGAATCTGCTCCCTCCTGCAAGGACGGAAAACTTCACTTTGATCCATTTGTGTTCAAACTCAAAAGGAGGTGACAGAACAGTTCTATGAGTTGTAATAAAACTAGGCAGTAATTGGAAGTAAAAGAAAGAAAAAAATCACATCTAGTACAAAAAAGGGAAACTAGAACCACCAGTCAAGTTAAGCCCCGTGAGAACACCAAAGAAAGAGAAGACAAAAATGTTGAATTTTAACATTTTTGTCTTCTCTTTAAGAAGAAACAAAGCCGTCCTCGCCTGAGGCTCTGTGGCCAAGTCTGGCTGGGGTGCCTCCCTGCCCATTGGGGCCCCCAGGGGAAAAGCCCACCATTTCACAACTCAAGTAACTGTCAGGGACTGCGGAGCCCCCTCCGCCACCGCCGTGCACCCACAATCCCCAAGAAGTGCACCTGGTGCCTCACTGGACAGCCGCCTGCAGAAAAATGCGAATGGTCCCCGAGTCTCCCAAAACGTCCATGAATGAGATATGATTCTATGATTACACATTAGAGTGTTTCACAGCGTAGACACTTCCGTGGAAGTGGGAAAACTGGGAACCGCTATGGGCCAACTCAACAAAGTGGAGATGAAATAGGTTAAAAATCTCAACAGAAACAGTCGGGGGAAAAAAATGTCTCAGGCACATGTGGAACACAAGCCTGGGGGGGGGAGGCACAAAAGAGAAATCCACGTAAAGATGGTAAGTGAAATGCTTCTTGCGGAATGGAGGCAAAATAGTCATCCTCAGACGAAGGAAAATGCAAAGAATGTGTCATTAGTAAATGCGCCTTTGAAGGCTGACAATTTAAAAAGGAGCAAAGACTAGGAAGAGCAGAAATGAGCAGCATTCTCCTTATGAGTTTTGGAAATGTCTCTGATAACTGACAAGGAAATTACAACAGCATTAATGTTTAGGACAGTAACACGAACTAAGTGGAAGCCAGAGTTCCACACACATCCCAGTGTTGGTGCCAGTTCCACATGTGTGACACACCAGTACCTACAAGTGTGGTCACACAAAACAGCACTGACTTTGTAACCCACAGAAGGCAAAAGAAAAGGAACAAATCATAAGCGGAAAGAAACAAAAATAAAATGGCAGTCTTTAGGCCTAACACATCAATAAATGCAAATGGTCTAAGCATGGCAGTGAAAAGGCAGAGAGAGACTGCCTATTTTTAAAAAATACACTGACTCAACTATGTGCTGTTTGGATTTTAAATCCAGCCAGAGGTTGAAAGTAAAAAAAAAAAAAATGAAGAAACATACAGACAAAATAAAACAAACAGGAACATTTATATTCATCAGACGCAGAGCAGAGTTGAGACACAAACAGGGTCCTTCTACGATGAATCCACCAGGGCACATGGCTGTAAATGTCTGTGCGACACATGACGGAAATGAAAAAGACAAACACAAGCAACACACCTACAAAAGTGTGCTCTACTACTGATTTTCACCAACTGTGAAAAAATAATTCGGTGGACGAAACATAAAGTAGCATATCCAGAGAACTCTCAAACCCAACGGTTAAAAACAACAACAAACCATGAGGTGCTCCTGGCAGTGATGCAAGAGAAATGAACATTCACGTTGACCTAGAAACAGCACGTGACTGTTCACAGCAGCCTGTTTCACAACAGCCGCAAACCAAAATTGAAAATTACAGATATGAAGGAAAATGACAACACTACATTAAAATATTTGGAATATAGCTAAATAGGGCAGAGAACAAAATTTAAAGCACTAAAAGCTTCCACTGGAAAAGAAGAAAGGCCGAAAGTCAATAATCGGTGTTTCTATTCTCAAACTGAAGGGGGGGCACCAAAAGGAAGAAAATACAGAGCTGAAATCAATGTAATTGAGAATAGGGTAAGAATAGAGAAATAAAAAGTTGGCTCTTTAATACAATAATTTCCACAAAGCTCTCGTTAAGACTGACAAGGAAACAGGGAAAACACATTAACCACTATCAAGAATAAAAAAGGAGGTTGGCCAAAGACATGGAAATGATGAAACCAGATTGCAAGCTCTGCACACTTGAATTAGACTATGTGAATGCAGTGCATCTGCTGTTCAGATGACCACATCTACCACCACTCACAACTCCCCAAAAAGAACATCTCTAGGCCCTGATGGTTTCATTGGAGAAGTCTACCAACACCCCATTTCAACACAAAACACTTCCCAACTCACTTCATGACGCCAGGATTAAGTCTAACAGTAAAACCAGATCAAGACCAGAGAAAAAAGCAACAAAGCAACAGAGCTACAGACCAGTATCTTCTGTGAACTTGGACACAACAATCATTAACCCTTTATCAAGTCAAATTCAACCGGGTGGAAGTCTGTTTCAGTTCCGAAACTCCCTTAAAGTAGTGCGCCCTATGGATAAAGACAAATCGTCGTCACATCCATAGATGGAGGAAAAGCCTATTGATGGTGGTAGTTTCAGGGGAGAACCTACTAACAGCTCTGCAGGTTCCAGGAGGATCATGTCAATCAACGACAAAGACCCATTCTGAGAAACAACTCACTAGGTGATTTTGGTGTCGTGCCAATGTCACAACCCTCTCGCAGATGCAGATGCTCTGGGCTATACCTCCCACCTCAGCCGTGGAGCACAATGGAGCCAAAGAAACACAATACCATTTATAGTCACTACAGCATATAACATTCTTAGGCATAAACTGACACATGTATGGAATCTGTGCACCAAAAACTTGCAACTACTGACAGAAAAGGTCAAAGAGCTAAATCAATTGAGAATTTTGCCTGAAAGAACCAATGTGGTAAAAAATGTCCATTCTCCCCAACTGGACCTCAGTGTGGTCATTTCTTTCAAAATCCGTTACGGGTCTTCGCAGACACACACAAGATGACTATGTCACGTACATAAAAAACCATAGAGGTGCCTGAGGTTGACACTCTCCAAGGACCCACAATGACAAACACAGTGGTTGGCTTCAATGACAAGACAAATGGCAGCACACCAGTCACTGGACGGGCATGGACAGTTCAGAAAGGATCTCCAAAAAAGGATACCCCCCATTTTTTGAGGAACTCACAAAAAACAACTCAGTGCAACTCAGTGTAAAACACAAAACAGGAGGGCCATTTCAATAAATTGAACAGAAACAACTGGTCGTCCATAGACAAAACAGTGAATCGTAACAAAACTGTAAAAATGGATTCAGACAAAAGGTAGAAACAATAAGGTAGAAAAAGATCAGGTCCTAAAGCTCGGTCAGGAGTTTTAAGAAAAATCAGTTCTTCAAAAGTAAAAGCCCGCTGCACAGGAAGTCTAGTAAGAAGCCTAGGACCACCTATGAAATCGGAGTAAACCATGACTCACAAAGGACAGGGAAGGATGCAGAGGGCGAGGCTGTAGCAGGTCTGTGGTGGTGGCCACAGTGAACACAGTTGCACACAGAAATGTATGTTCATGTTGCACCTGGATGTTGGCAGAGGCTTCATCCCCAACAGCCAGAAGTTGGAAACAACCCGAGTGTCCTGTACTGGTCATGGGCAGCCATCCCACGGCCCCCCGCACAGCCAGGAAAACAACTGCCACCACCTGACTGGGTCCCAGGACCTCATGCCAGAGGGGAATGAGCAAGTGTGTTTAGAGCTGTGGAGAGCAGAGCCTAGTCCAAAAGCTGGACCCCAGCGGTGTCATGACGGACACCACGCTAGACAGAGAGAGGGTGCACCATTGTGGGCAAATGGGTGCAAGTCCACAGGACCAACCATGACTGAAAACCACATCTACTAATTCTATGCTCGTACCAAAATAAAAGTGAAAGCACAAACACAAACCTTCCCACAAAGAAACCTCGATGGACCAGATAAGTGTCACTGGTGAATTTGATCAAATATTTAAGGTAGCAGAAATTGATAAATGTAGACCAGAAAATACAAATCGATACTCCTCATGATCATAGATTAAAGGAGTGACTGATGCATTTATAAACTAACAAACCAGAAGTTGGACTCATTTAAGAATGAAAGGCCAGTAGATAAACATTGCAAAGTTCAAGGGTTCAAATCTGAACTGATCAAGTCTTTTAACAAATTGAAGTCCCTGCCTCTCAGCCCAGAAAGGCAGGTGGGGAAGGGCATTTGAAGAGATAACCTTGGTTATCAAGTGTAACATGGACTTGGGGCTTGCTTTATCAGCAGCTAGAAAACGTGTGCAAACGTGCCTGCAACGCAGCATTTTCAGTTTTCATTAATGCTTTACTTCTAAAACTTCACATTTTCAATAAATAATAAGCTTAAGGATATTTTAATAAGTATGTCAGTGGTTTTACATAATACTAGATGTTATACTGTTTATTAGAGTTTCAAAATCTTTTGTTCATTACATTACATGAAATTGTAAAATACAAAACCAAGATACCGGGAACTTCTACCCTGTGATTATTATAATCACTATTCTAAGTCTCCAAATTCCCTACTAACTGTAGATAATTAACTAATGTTTTCATACTTATGTTGACAAAACTAAGAAGCTGCATTGTGTCTGAAACACTTCCTGGAATGTCATTAACCGTGGGGTCAATTGGGAACCTCTTACGTTGGTTATTCCACACACTACGTACAAGTGTGTCCTTCAAATCAGGCCTCACATATGACTTTAAGACCTTAATTTTGAAAACCATTTCTTTGTAAGAAACAGCACCAGATCTTGCCAACTCTTCTCAGGAACACGGAGACGCTGCAGCGTGCTCACCGTCTGCGACCCTGTCATTGACTGTCAGGTGCCATTTCCCCATCACTGCATTATCTTCACCCTGATACTGTCACTTGTGGACCTTCAGGTACATAGCAGAGTACACATTCAAGCCTGCTGCTAAAAATGACCAAGTTGTGCTACAAAGAAGAAATACCGGTAACCTACAAAATAAGTGACAGGACAGAACGTACCCTGCTATAAAACAACACAGCACACCCTTGGGCCTCAGGGCAGTAGCCTGTGGTGAACAGGAGTGGTCCCTTGCCAAGGGGTTCCCCACTTCCAGAACATACCAAGACTGATATGTTTAAACAGCAACCCCTCCCCCCCGCCCCAATCCCAAAACAAGTCAATTTAAAAGTCCAAAGAGACATTTCTCCAGAGAGGACATACAGAGGGCCAAGACACATGAAAAGATGCTCAAAGTCACTAATCGTCAAGGAACTTCAAATGCCCACCTTTCAGAATGGCTATGACCAAAATACAACAAACAAATGTGAGGGATCCTCCAGCACAGTTGGGGGGAATGTGGTGCTGCCACTGTGGGAACCAGTGTGGAGGCCTCTTGGGTAATCAAAAACCGAGCAGCCGTACGACCCAACTGTTCTACTTCCAGGCATTTATCCAGTGGAACAAAAACACATATTCAAAAGGACATACACAACTCAGCAGTGATAGTCACAACAGCCAAGGTCACAAGTAGCCTGGGTGTCCATTGATAAAGGAGATCTGGTACTTAAAATAAACACTACTCAGCCGTAAAAAAGAATGAGATTGGACCTCTGGAACAACATGGACCAACCTACAAGGCATTATGCTCAGTGAATAATGACAAGTACAGGAACGGAACTAAGAAGTACAGGTTTCCAGTTAAAAAGCACCCATGGGATGGAAAGTATAGCAGAGGAACATAGTCCATACTCTGGTAACTCCGTATGGGGGTAGTGGGGTACCTGACCTGGGTTGGCAATCATTCCAAAGTCATGGAAATATCTAACCATGAGGCAATGCACCTGAAACCAATATAATACATGGTAACTAAGAAAAAATTAAATGCGTCACCTGATCAGAACAGAGTCCCTGGTGTAGCCACCATCATATTCCGTAGTTTCTTCTAGGGCTTGGAAATCTAGATTCTGCAAATGAAAAGAAATGTCTTAGCGCCACGTCCGCTACACCAGTACAAACAACACATCAGTACATGGTGCTTTCGCAGGCACCGCTTTCTTACCCGGCTTCCACATATGAGCAGTTCAATTTCCTCTGGTCTGAATAGGTACTTTAAGGGAGATTCATTAGTCACCATATGAAAACCTCTCCGAAACGCCTTGAACTGTTTTTCTACTGATTTATTGAGAATGTAGTCAGAATAGAGATTGACAAATTCCTGCAGAAAACATTAACCAAAAGAACTTATGAACTACACAAATGGAATACACCAAACTAATGGGTTCAGAGTTTTTAATGATATTTTTATTTTGCCATGCAAAAACATGCAAAGGAGATACCTTCAACAATTTCATGGCTGTCTGCAATACCAATATCAAGCTGTAAACAGGGTGGATGTTTCCTAATACATGTGTTTCCATTTTGGCAGCTTATTAAATGAATAACCCATCAACAGCATCACTTGGAGGCCCCTCCACTAGCTACACACATGCAAGAGCCACGCAGGGTGCGATGAGCTGACTTTGCACAAACCAGGGAGTCTTGTGGTTGCTCTTCTACAGTATTTGGGAAGCAGCCAACTGTACCCAGCTCAACATATACACTATTAACACCAAATCAGAAGGGAAACATACTTTGTATTTTATCAAAAACTAATAATCTAAACCTATTTTTAAAGGTTAATTATATATTTATCATAATGGTCCTGCTACATTCTGGTTATTCCCTTGTTTCTGGATGCTTACTCTGCTAGTCCACACAGAAATGTGATTTAAAGAAGAGTGCACACAGTGTGCCTACTCGGTACCACCACTGCGTGTTTGCTGACAAGAATACTGTTTGGTATTACAGCCACACACAGCCACCCCACTCTCCCCCATCCCCACAAGGGGCTTGGCGCCCCACTGCATGCTGTCCTGCCAGCTTATTTCCAAGATTTAGAAACTGGGGCTGCAGCATTTTCAAGAACTTAAGTTACTTGCTTTCTTGGGTCTTCACATAGACTATGTCAGACACCATATTATTAGATACCGTATTTTGCCATGTGTAATTCAGTGCCGTGTATATGCACACCCATGTTTTCAGCCCAAACTTTTCCGTTTTAGTTTTTAAAATTCAATTATGTATTTATACTTGCAAACAAAACAAACTATTGTATTCCATAATACTTTGCATACAGATTATCATTATTGCTTTCTAGAGTTACCACTTTTAATACAAAAGCATAAATAAAACAATTAAAAACATTTATATGGATACAGAATTAGTAGTACCCATGTCTTCCTGAAAAATTTGCATTTAAAAAAAAGGCTCATTATACATGGCAAAAAATGCCATAATGTTCTGAAATTATGTTCATCTACAGACAAAAAACACAGTGATATAAAACATTTACTACCTTCCTGTTTTCGTTTGTAATTGGAATTTTGTCCCCATTTTCCTTCAGATCATACATCATTGGGTTACCAAAGAGGTCCGTCTGCGATATCTGGAAAGTGATCATCATATCGTCTTCTACGTTCCCTTCATACTCCAGTAAGTCTTTCAAGCTCTGGTATAGAACCTAAGAACCAGGAAAGGAAAGTCAGGGTCACCGCAAAAATCACAACATACAACCATTTATAGTGCTCTCACTGGGTCGGGGGAGTGGGACCCTAAGAATTCAAACACAGGTCCCACCCCCTGTCCTCCAGAGAGTTGACAACATGGGAATTGAGGCTCCATCGCTGATGGTGTGCACTCTCTGTGAGGGACCCCTCCCACCCTGGTTTAGTGATAGACAGCAGTACTCTTGGAGTCTCGGTCAGAAGGACAAGGGGGGAGGGACAGACACTAACTGCAGCCACCCAGCTCCCTACACTCTGATATATCCTCGAAATTTCACATGTTCTCATTACAGTTTAAAAACATTTAAAACCTGCTTGCTGACAGCAGTACACGGAGATATATATTCAAAAGTTCCCCTTTTGAGGTTGTGAAGGGTAGCAAGGATCCCACTGAAAAGACTTACAGGGTGAGAGTCCCCCAAGTCACGGAAAGTTCCTTTCTTCCCCATCAGCTTCCGGTATACGACCATGGGGAAGTGCACGTCCAGTATGCAGTTGTTGTAGATCGCCAGGCCCAGGACTATGCCGATCAGAGTGAACTGGCCCTCAGTTTCAAATGAGGATGGATTAAACCAGAACAGTTTTGTAGATTCATCGTATGTGAACATACCTGTAAGAAATTATTTTGAAAATAAATTACTCTTACAAATATATAGTTTATAATGCACGCAAATTTTTTCTCTATTACCACTCAGAAACCAAAGTTCAAATATATCATGATTAAAAACTGGCAGAGTGGCAAAGGTAGGTCTGTATATATTTTAAAGAAGCCAATGAAACAAAGTAATAAGCAACTTCTGTGGCATTTTTCTAAGAAGTTTCAGAAAATGTTTATGAAATTGCAGTTCTCTGATCTATTATAACAGATGATGGTTAACTGCATTCATACTTCATCCACTAAAAGGGTGGAAAAGCAAAAAAAAAAAAACCACGGGAAAATAGTATAATTATTTTCATCTTTCAAAACACCTTTAGAGTGTTCCACTTATAAAAACAGTCTAATTCATATGTACTGTTTAAAAAAACAATTCCCAATTTCCTGAAGGGAAAGTTCTATGTTTTCAAACTTGCACGAGCCCCTGAAATGTCTCCAGCACCTTTCTAACCAGGTCCGATGGTGCCATGTGCAGAGACTTAGATCCGTTCGATACGCCTGGACTGCATCCCATCATTGAATTTACGGCATTTTCATTTTACTAAAACGTTTAGCTGCTACTTGAAAACTAGGTAAAAATCGTTTTAGATCTGAAAGGGGGGGGACGGTATTTCAAATAGAACTGCAGAAATTTATACAGCCATAAATCAATTACAAGATTTTTAAAGTTTTACAATAGTTCATTTTAATTCAGTTTAAGTTAAATATAAACAGAACTTTAAAACAATCCCCTGGTCAAAAGACCGTAAATTAATACAATTTAGTGTTTGTGAAATAACACTCTGAATATTATCCAATTGGTACTTGAATTTCAGTTTACATTTAAACTTTTTATAGTCCTAAATTACAACAGAACCTGGAATACTAATGGCTTCATTTAGTTATAAATATGGTTTTGAGAGGGTCCAAATCAGCCGAAGATGATTACAGTTAATTAATAAAGTAGACAAAACTTCACAAATGTAAGCTCTCCATCTCAAAAGCCACACATTACACAGGTGAACTCTCTTCTCTGCATCTGAAGAACTGAAAGTACAAGGAGATTCTACTGTGTACATATTTTCTTCAGGTTCCAGGAGAAAAAACCATCACACATACAGAGCATGGGTCTTCTAAAACTCTCTTGTTATCTGTCTACCATCACTTCAAATCACCGTCCATCAAGTACAAATGTGCAACATACGTTTTTTCCTAGAGGCATTTCCGCATATAATATAAATATACTTTGCAGCTAATGTCTCTTAGATACATCAGAACCTGGTTTGCCAGACTTACGAAGTATAAATTAATTTTCTGTCTCAGAAAAGGGTATCTTGGTTCACTCAGAGCACATGACACAGCCTCTGACTTTGATTTAACACCAGCCACATTATATCGTCTCAGAATAACTATTAATTAGGAACTCAAAGTGTCCGATCCCGTTTACAGGTGTACGGTACGGCCGAGTGCCAGCAACAACAGAAGCCAGCTCAAACCGAGGACCAACAGTGTTCAGGAAATCACCTGTGTGACCCTGGGCCCCACCTTCACAACCTGGAGGGCTTTCACAGGACCGTGTCCCTACATGGGTCCCGCCTTCACTCTCCAAACTGAGCAAACCCAGGGGTTTTATGGCAGAAAGGGGACCAGTCAGAATTATTCAGCCCCACCACCCAGGCTTGCTCTGCCCTTCAGAGAAATTCAAACTCTTTAACATGTGGACCAGACTTCCCAAACTGTGCTCAAACAAAACTCTTCTGGGAGGCAAAGATTATCAGATGCAAGGAGGAGGAAGGCCTGGAGTTCAAAAACTAGGAAACTGGTAAACGACTCCATTGGGGGCCATCAGTTGGCCACCCCCAGGTTGGGACAGTGGGCATCCCCTCATGTCTTGGGTCCCCTGGTCTAGAACAGATAACAGGGGAGGCTGTGATTTGGATCAATGTTTTAGACAAAGAACAGCAAAGAAACCCTCCAAACGCTCCATTCTACAGTGCTACAAATTTTATTTATCTAGGAATATAACCTATTAGGATATGCAGTTAACTAATCTAAACAAGAACTTAAATAAGCAAGCGAGGTAAACTAGCCCCAGAAGCCCCCCAATTCAGTCTGTGTCTGAGATCCTCTGTAACACCCATCAACACCACCTTATGCTGTTCCTCACAAGCAGGCACAAAGACAGCGATAAAGTGCTTACCAATATCTGGATTGAAGATTTCCTCCACAACCAGCTGGAAAAATTCTTTGGAAACACCTCCCTCATCAACCCCTTGCTCTCCTTCGAACTCCACGTACAGCTGTTTCTTCAAGTCTGCAGGGTTTTCCATGGCGATCATCTCTAGCTGGAGAGTGAAAAGACAGTGAAGAGAAGATGACTGCCAGTGTTGGGAGAAGCAAAATAAAGACAGGGAGTGGGCCAAGGGGGCAGGTAAAAGTTCCCAGTTTTGGTTTGAACCCAGTGAAGACCAAGACTTAGTTTGAAATAAGGGAAAATAGGACAGAAGTGAAACTGGCATAGAATATTAAAATGGTTACTTTCTAACTTCCAATGTTTTAGGAAATGAGCATATCAGAATCAGCTTTTCTGTTACCTACGTAAGAAAGTCGGGTTATAGCGTTAGGACATAGAAGTCAGCAAAACTCGTAACTACTTAAAATCATTACAGCAGTGTAGAAGTTTGACTTCAAAGAATAAAAACAAGAATTTTTAATACCTATTAAGCCATAAACATTTTTTTATTAGACTTCTGCCAAGATGGAGGCTTGGTGGAAGCACTTCCCCTTCTCAGACAACCAAGTTTAAAAACAAAGTTTTAGCAACAAAAAGGCAGCCAAACCAAAGAAAACTGAACTACACGAGAGTCTAACAACGAGCCCTTCAGCCAAACCGGTAAGAGGGGCACAACCAGCAGCAGAGCGGGGTTGGACAGGAAAGATCCACCAGACCAACCCAGCTGTGCTATCCAGGTGCACCAAAAGCCGTGGGCAGATCCCAGGTGTGGAGAAGCGGGCAGACCGTGGTCACACACTCTCGCACAGTTAAACTGGTGAAGGAGCAAGCAGTGAGACAAACCGCGCAGGCCCCAGCGGTGGGAAGTGGCAGAGAGAACCGCCACTGTCCCTCTGACCCTTCCCCACATACAGTGTTAAAAACCAGCAACCTGGGTGGCCCTGCCCTGGTGAACACTTAAGGCACCACTCATACTAACAGGCAAGAACAGCAAAACATGACTCAAGAACAACTCAGAGCCCATAAATCTAAGTGATGAAGAAATAGCCAAACTTTCTGATCAGGATGCTCACAGAACTAGTTGATTTTAGTCACAAATTAGAGGAACATGGAAGTTAAACTAATTGAAATGAAGAGAAAGCAAGAGTAATGTAAAGGAAACTGGGACTCAAATCAAGAGAGTGGACCAGAAGGAGGAAAGAAACATCCAATCAGAAAAGAATGAAGAAACAAGAATTCAAAAAAAATGAGAGGCTTAGGAACCTCCAGGACATCTTTAAACGCTCCAACATCTGAATTATAGGGGTACCAGAAGGGGAAGAGGAATGGCCACAAGTGGAAAACTTATTTGAACTAATAATAAAGGAGAACTTCCCCAATCTGGCAAAGACAATAGACATCCAGGAAGCTCAGAGAGTCCCAAAGAAGTTGGACCCAAGAAGAAACACACCAAGGCACATCATCATTACATTAGCCAAGATTAAAATGAAGGAGAGAATCCTAGAAGCAGCAAGAGATAAGGGGACAGTCACCTACAAAGGAGTCCCCATCAGACTGTCAGCGGATTTCTCAAAAGAGACCTTCCAGGCAAGAAGGGGCTGGAAAGAGGTATTCCAAGTCATGAAATCCAAAGACGTACAGCCAAGATTGCTCTATCCAGCAAAACTTTCATTTAGAATGGAAGGGCAGATAAAGTGCTTCTCAGATAAGGTCAAGTTCAAGGAGTTCATCCTCACCAAGCCCTTATTATATGAAATGTTAAAAGGACTTACCTAAGAAAAAGATAAAAAAGATGAACAGCGAGAGGACAGCAAGCTCACAGTTATTAAGAACCACAGAAATGAAGATCACATGGAGGGTTAGCAACAGGGGAGTGGGGGGGGGGAGAAGGTACAGAAAATAAGTAGCATAGACAGTAGATAGAAAATAGATAGGGGGGAGGGCAAGAATAGTATGGGAAGTACAGAACACGTGGTCATAAACTAAAGGGGGAAATGGTGGGGGAGGGGGTGTGTAGGGTGGAGGGGAATGAAGGGGGGAATAGAACAAACTAATGGCATAATTAATAAAATATTTTAAAGAATGATGTTTATAAGAAAAAAATTTTAATTAAAAATGGGGAAGCCCTTGATCTCCTGTAAGGCTTATTATAAATTACCACTTTTATGGATTAGAACACATTTTACATCTACTTTCTCATATCCTTCAATTTCTTGCAAATTATCAAACCCTACTTTCCATCATTGCAACTATACCTCTTTGATTTCCTTATATCTAGAGAATAATGAATATGTGATGAGGTGAATCATCAAATCACACCAGATTCTGATGTGAAATAATTACACTCCAATTTATATATCTAAAATTTATTAACATGCCTGACTGGTCATCCACCTTACTTACTGCTAAATCATCTTTAAATGCCTGCTGGCTGCTTGAAAAAAATTTGCAAATTTTGCCAAAACAATATTTAAGGGTGCTCAAAATTTATTGCCGCTATTCCAAACAATTTTTAAAATATTTCTGAACAATGCAAACATCACTGGAATAGGCAAGAGCCCTAAAATAATGACTTTACATGAATAACAACAGTTTGGACATTCGAGGGTCTAAAACCCAATAGTGGGCAGCCCAGCCAACTCAGTGATTTGCCACCTACAATGGGGGGGGGGATGCATCCCACACAGTAAATGGCATCTACTGCTCGTGGGACTTTGGCTTCAATGGTACATACAGAAACGTGTGTTCTGGATGTTATGTAAATGATGTCTTTCTAGGGCTTACAGAAACATTTTTAAGAACAAAGTGATCATCTGGAAATCAACTTTTGGGTTCTGTGGTTGGTTCTATGTATTTAGAATCTCTAGCTTTAAAGAACATGTGTCTTGGGCCAAGGTGGTCCCTCATGTGTGCAGAACACCATGCACCTGTCCACACCAGGGTGTTCAGTTTTGAGACAGAGAGCGGTGCCCAGGCGAGTGCGGTGCCCAGGCGGAGTCAGGGTACTCCATACTAGTCTCAGCTGACAACTTTTAACCTTCAAACTTGATCAAGCAACTCCATGAAGCCTCAGCTTTCTCATCCACAAAAGAAAAGGGGATAATACTCTTAATATGGCAAAGTGGTGAAGGTGTAACAAAAATATACGAACACGCGAACTATTCATTACCTTTTAAAACAATTCAGCTCTTCCAATAAAAGATGTGAAATGTGATTTTAGAGCGCAGTCTCAAGTTTTGAAAATAACCTTGGGGGGAAAAATAATTTCAGATAGAAACTTGGAGAATTCCAGACAATGTAAGGACCGTGGGGACCATCTAAATTTCCATTGTAGCTCCAATACACCTCGCCGGTCAGGCCAGCCTCCCGCCTGGGCATTGAAGGGTGTGAGTCAATGGTCATACACGGCCTTCCTTACACCCTTATGATGCTCATCAGATGCCATGGTCTCTGAGACCAAAATGACCGTCTGATACAGGAAGCTTCCTACAGCTCCTCCTCACCCACATGGAAGAGAGGGACCCGACCTCTGTTACTGGGACCGATAACTGTGAAAGGTTTGGTGGGCAGTCCCCCGGGATTCAGAGGCCCTGAGTCCTAGACCTCCCTCGGCCGGAGCCACCTCATAGGACGGCAAAAGCCCACTGACCTTCATACTAAGTGAAACACTGCAGGCCTGACATTCCCACCAATGCAGGGACCAAAGGGTCCAAGGCAGTATGTCTGTGATAATCATAAATATGATTTTCTCTTTGCTCTAGTGTTAACTAAAATGAGCATCATTACATATTGATAAATTATATACTGTGTTGATACATTAAGTGCTTATTAGAAGAATCTCCTGTACAGTGTCATATAAGAATCAGCTCTTGTTATTGTTACTTTTAGTCTAACGGTTCTGAAATGTTTCTCAGGCTTTTTAAAAGGAAACAACTCGGGCAGTGGTAGGAAAAGGTCCCAGTACTGACCACGCACCGAGAGGCCGGGCACTGTTCCAAGCAGCGCACATGCTTCTCACTGAGTGTCCGCCACAGCCTTGGGGGGTCGGTCGTCCCCCCGCCCCAGTCGGAGTGGGAAACTGGAAGGGCAGAGACGTGACCCGGGTGGCTGTGGTTCACTCCCTGTCACTGGTGATGAGCAGCCTTTTCTGAAATTATGAGCAATTTTTATTTTTGTTTTCCTTTGTCTTAATGTTTTATGCTAATTATGTGTTAGTTTTAGAATGGGGATTATTGAAATGTAAGTATGTAAAAAGTGATTTGAAAAATACTCCCATCACTTACAGTTCCGGGGGGTAACCTATCTTTAAAAAAAATTACTTTTAATTGTAGCATCGTGTGTACAATAAACTTAGCAGTAAGTGTTCTGGTAAAGGCTATCTGATAAAGTTATGTAGGACTATTTTCATTTCCCTTAAAAATAACCACTGTAAACCCACTGTTCAACTGGAGATTAAAGAATTGTAAAGGTATCAATATATCATTTTATTAATAAATACATACCACTTAAAACTGACTTTTCAAAATCAAAAGCTGTCTCAAATGCAGTATATTCAGAAAGTGGAAAAGTGTGTGTCAATGAACATTCTGAAAAAGAATTTGCATGCATCCTTGAACTGAACTCATCTAATAAAACATGTACACCTTGAATTTTGTCTGTAGCTTTTCTGCGAGCTGGGTACACTTTGTCTTGCTTTACTGTGAAGACAGGCAAGATGACAGATACCAGGGAAACCAAAACAGCAGGCTGGGTGCAGTGACCACCCTTCCTCATATGATGATTCCTGATTTCATCACTTGTTGAATAAAATTATTTCTAATTTCTAAACTTTAAGTGGCCATGATGATGAAATCCTACAAAGGCCACTTTTTAAAAAAATTCCCAGAATCAGGTGGAGAGGATGATAGCTCAATATAAATATACAGTTGCCAGTCCCGGCTGGTGTGGCTCAGTGGATTCAGTGTGGCTGTGAATGAGGAAGTCACTGGTTCAATCCCCAGTCAGAGCACAGGCCTGAGCTGTGGGCCAGGTTCCCAGTAGGGGTACGAGACAGGCAACCTCACACTGATGTTTCTCTCCCTCTCTTCCCCCCCACAAAGGTAAATTTAAAAAAATACACTAGCCATATTTACGAGAGTCAAAAGGAAAACCCCAGCGTTTAAAATATAACAGTATTCTGGCTATTATGCGAGTCAAATCCATCCTCATAAGCAGCTGGAAAAAAGTCCTTGATGCTATCAAAGCTTAAGGGCGCCACTGAGATGCAATGGCCTCTTGGAGACCAAAGAACACCTGGGACCCCTGGGAAGGGCTGGACGAGGTCACGAGTTACGTACTAGACTTGGGACTCTGTCACACACTCTGCTAGTGATGGGGTTCCAACTGAAGACCAGAACAGGATTTCTACACGTAATGTTTTCATTTCTCTATGAAGCCAAGTTTCTTATATCTGAAATCCCAGAGGTCTCCCAATTCTGCCACTAACATCCTACGCAGGCCGGAACCTCCATGTTTCACTTTCCTCACATGTGATACTGAGGAGTTTGGTGAGCATCACTGTTCAGAATTACTGTATGGTGCTAAGAATGTACGTACGTCTAGTTCATTCTCTTGTTCTACTCTGAGGGCAGAAATGGGACACAAAGTTCCTACTTTCAATTAGAATAAGCGTGAGGAACAGTAAATGGCCACCACATGGAGCACCACAGAGCGACCATGTAACACACTAACTACACCCAGAGCAGCTCCGCATTATCTTATTCTGAAAGCACCGCGGGTGAGTCGATAAACAAGACCCAAGTACCAAGTAGTGTTTTCAACTATAACTCGGGGTGTCTACTTGCCAAGGGAGGTGCTGGGGGCTGGGTGAGGGATTCTGAGCAGAGCCCCTGGGTGGAACTTTCCTGGCCAGTTCTGCCTCTGAGCCATTTCTTTGGGCCTTCCATGTCCACTCCAGATTCTGGGACTGAGGCCCTGACTCATCTGCACTCAGCCTGACGCCACCACGAGCCCCACCCTCCACCTGCGGTCCTCAGTCACCCTCTGACAGCAGCCTCCAGGCGCCCCAAGCACACTCTTGTGTGGCCTCCAGAAGTGGTACATGTGCCCACGGCCATCTCCCCACTACGGCTTTGTGGTCCGGCTCCATTGGCACACCAGGGGCACTCCCCGAGGTGCAGACTCCTAGGAGCCACACCAGAGCCCCTGGTTTGAGTATCTACAGGCCAGAACCTTGGTTGGTTTGGGTTTTCCTTTTTTTGGAACAAAGTTCCCCTTCAGATGTGAAGGAGTCAGGGGCACCTCCCAGATGGCAAACACTGCCCTCTCCAGGATGCTTGCACCTCAATCTCCTAGCATAAAAAGTAATTAAAGTTTTTCTTACACATTCTTTCCCTTGAGAACATGTTGTCTAAGAAAAATGACTATGCACTTTTAAAAAGGGCACACAAAAAGATGTTCTTACAAGGAGTAAAATCCTGTAAAAACTTCATCACCTTAGGACTGTCTCCAGTTGTGAAAATCAGTTCTGGGGACTTCAGGGTCTGGGGTAGTTCTGAAAAGACTCTGAGCTAACTCTGTGCAGGGACAATTTACATTTCCTATTTCACTGATACTAAAGTTCACTTTTCTCTGCACATTCCAACATCTCTGAAATCAGGACACACCATACAACTGACGGCAGTTTTCTTTTTTTCGTAGTAATAAAACAACAGTATGTCCTACAATCGGTCTTAGGTTCAATAAGATACAGTAAAAACACTAATTCCTCAGTTGCCATCCAAGACAGTTCTGCTAAGAACCCCAGTGGGAACAATTTGCTACATGGCACATGACTGCAGTAAACGTGTTAAAGACAAACAAAAACCCTCTGAATCGCCATTATTCCCCACCCCCCTCTTCTAAGCTAGTCGGTCTCACCACCGTCGCTGAAACACCAGATCCAACAGCAAACCTGTTCAGAGGGTCGTACGCAGCACCCAGCAGCAGGACCACCTGCTTGAGTGTGGCTGGCAGGGACATAGCGTGAGTGTGATAATACAGTTTTATTTTTGAACACCTCATGTAAAATGTTACATGGCGTGCTTCAGCGTGGTAGGGTTATGCTGCAGAGAGACATGCTCCTGAGCCTTTAATGAAAGACTCTGTAATAAAAAGGGGCGCTTTCTGTGCCGGACCCTGGGTGTGGCCACCGACCGCTCCCTGGGCTTCACTTGGAAAGAACGGGCCCTGAATTCCGAGGCACCCCCCAGCTCCTGAATTAAGCTCACTGCGAGATTCCTCACTCCCCTCTTGTCTTCCCGACCCCACACTGTAGTTCACAATGAAGATATCCTAGGAAAGTGGTCAGTAGGTCTGCCTGCCAAACCGGGACAGGAAGTAAAGGAGGCGGCTGTGAAATAACCAAGTAGATCCCTGGGGACTAAGATGTTTAAAATCCATCAGCACTTTTGAAGTCCACATGAGAGGCTGATCTTCAACTATGTTCTGTTACTAAAATACTATGACTTTAATACCCTGCTAGGAATTAAAAAAAAAAAAAAGGCAATTATCAATTTGACTCCCAAGACCTCTTGTGATACTTATTCTTTAATCTTCTCACATTGCATTATTTAAAAAAAAAAAGGTGGGGGGGAGGGAGACAGGAGACGGGAGCCGGGCTGGCCGAGTAAGCCCACCAGCAGGACCGCTCTCTGGCTCGGCCAGCTGCCACTGCGCCGGGGCCGCCTGGGGGACCGGGGATGCTCAAGTTCAGAGACATCGAGTGCGCACTGACAGCAGGTCACACCACACTGAGTTCTGACTTAATCACACAGAACTCACTTAAAAAAAAAAACAACCTGCAGCCCTGGCTGGTGTGGCTCAGTGGATTGAGCACAGGATGCAAACCAAAGGGTCACCAGTTCGATTCCCAGTCAGGGCATGTGCCTGGGTTACAGGCCAGGTCCCCAGTGGGGGCTACATAAGGGGCAACCACACACGGATGTTTCTCTCCCTCTCTCCCTCCCCTCCCCTCTCTCTAAAAGTAAATTTAAAAAATTATATATGTATGTAAAAACCCGGCACATTTATTTAAAAGCTCACAAAGGGGAGTCCTTGAAAACCAAAACAGCTGCTTCCTCAAAACCCCAGGAGATAGTTTAAAAGTCAGAGTAAGGCAGAAAAAAAGCACCCAGCCTTTCATGGGCCCCTCACTTTGCTTTACTAGTGGAGGGGAGGACGACAAGGCCGAGCAGATTCAGGAGCAGAAAGACATTCACACGGCACACAACTTCTTCAACCTCTGGGTTGACTCACACAGAGTAATGCCACTGCTCTCCCGAGGAGAGACACGGCCGCAGCTGGGAGCCAGGGACAGGACCCAGCCCTAGGGCAGACGCACAGCGTGCGGCTCGGGGATGTGGTGTCTGCCGCGACAGTGGAAGTTCAGAGGCCCCACACACTTCCCACGAAGCCCCCCACCCGGCCAGACCCGCCGCGCCCTGCATCCCAACGAGCTGCCCGATCACGACTCACTGCGTCCATACGTGCGCACATAAGCTGGAGCCCAACCGGTGCAAATGAAGAGGCACCAGAAAGTAAGCAAGGGCTTATTTAGAGTTCAGTGCCCGTATTCCCCCCCCCGTCCATGGTGCGGGGTTCTTCTCCTTTGTTAGTATGGAAGACTGACTGCCTCTCAGTCTGAGCGGACAGTGAACTAACTCCACCTGAAACTGATGATGAGGTAGCAATGCCAGAGCGATCCATCTACTGTTACAGATACAGTAACACTCTGTGACCCAGTGCCCTACGACAAATGCAAATTTTGTCATAACGGATGGTGACTGGGTTCTGCTTTCCAGCCAGGCCCACCTTCTTAAATAGGGCATTGAAATTCTTATTTTCTGTGGGGGAAGGAACAAGCAGGGAAACCCGCGTGGGGAACCGGTGCTACAAGGCGGCTGCCAGTGCCCCCGGTCTCCTCCTGCGCGGCCGCCCTGGACCGGGGTGAAGGAGACTGACGCCCTAAACTGCAAGATTCCTGAAGTAGCTGCTCTTTTCCCAGAAGTCCCACCAACTCTGAGGTCCCGAGGGGCCCGTGTGGGTATGTAAGAGGGGACAAACGACCCCCGTTGGGCGGCGCCACACAGGGACGCTCGAGTGACCCAGGAGGACCTGGCAAGCAGTCGCACGGCCGGGACCTCACGCGGGGAGGTCTGGGCGGCACACCCACGTGTGCCGTGGCCTCCGGTGCGCTGCTCCGGCCGAGACTCACGGACACACGCACTGCTGCCTCCCTCCGCACCCCGGGCTGCGCTCGGCCTTTCCCCAGCACCCCCTTCTCTCCTGACCAGGGACACTTTGGGGTTAGTTGTCAAGATTTATAGAATCTACTCTTTATCAAAGAAGGGGGATCAATATAAAGCAGTACTTTGTGGAACACACCAATGAAGCTAGACAAAAACAACTAACATGTAACACTCACATTTGCAATTTTAAAAATGTTCAAAGGAGCCCTGGCTGGTATGGCTCAGTGGATTGAGCACCAGCCTGAGAATGAAAGGGTCACCAGTTCAATTCCCAGTCAGGGCACATGTCTGGGTTGTAGGCCAGGTCCCCAGTGGGGGACACGCGAGAGGCAACCACACAGTGATGTTTTTCTCTCCCTACCTCCTTCCCTTCCCCTCCCTGTCTAAAACAAATAAATAAAATCTCTCTAAAAAAATTAAAAGAAAAAAGCCCAAAGGTGCCCTCACTTGGAAAGGTGGGCACACCATACAGTGCACAGACGGTGCATCACAGAGCTGTACCCTGAGACCTATGTAATTTTATTAACGAGCGTCACCCCAAAAAAGGCCACATGTTCCCCTGTCCCTTAACAGTTTTAAAGGATCGCCTGTAGAATGCGCACACGGGGCCGCGTCACAACATGCAGGCACCGACTGCACCCAGCTCCGACTTTCAGCAGCAGCCCGACTTACCCGGACGAGCGCGTCATCTATGATATGGTCGCGTCTGACCTTGAGCCTCAAGTACGGGTTCAGCTGCTGCCCTTGAACTAAGCTGTAGAGGACAGTGATTCTCCGCTCACTGTACATGCGAATTCTATTGTCATAGTACAACCCCAAGTTCTTTGTCACAGCATTCAGTATAAAGGGGCAAGTCATAAAAGAGAATTTGTTCTCGGTTTCTACTTTGAAAAAGGTGTAATCCTTATCCATCTCTAGAACATCATTCAGTGGCTCGTTGATAAACTCTTCGAAAGGGATGAGTGGTTTCCGGCAGTCCAGGGTCTTCACGCCAAGCTCGGTCTCCAGCGGGTCCACGCGCGGGCCCTTCTTGTTCCTCCTCTCGTCCCCCAGCAGCTCCTGCAGCGTCAGCTCGCTGGACTCGGGGATGGGCTCCTCGTCGTCCTCCTCGTTGTGGTTGGTGTCCACCTCCCCGCCCACGACGTTTGCATAGTAAACCATTTTCAAGCACTTCGAAGCAGCAACGATGGCGTCATCGTCGTTGACTAGATTTCTCTCGTTCCCTAGATTCCGGTTGTTAAACTCATTGCTGATGACTTTGTATGTGATGAGCTGCTGAAATGTCTCCATCATCCTCCGAATCTGGTCTGCGCTGTACTTTGACCACAGTCTGATCAGTTTCCCCTGGGCTGCCAGGGGGAGCTTGCTCATGGCTTTGCAAAACAAGGGCAAGGCCATTTCCAGATACTCAGGGCTGTGGAGGTTCCTGTTCTCCATGACAATGATGAATAAATTCAGGTAGTTGGGGTCTCGGGAGTACACATTGTGATACGTCAAGTCACACTCCACGTTGGGGGACAGGTACACCAGTGCATTGAGAAAGGCGGTTTCTATCTTTTCATTGGAGAGCAGCCTGGTGTAGACCCTCCTGATGGCCTCGATGTCCACGGACACGTCCTCGGGGCCTGACTTCTGCAAGCTGTCGCCTGGGGGGCTGTCACTGCTCCTCGAGGACGAGGCTTCCGAGTCGTCTTCCATGGCGGCAGCCGAGCACGCGGCCTTCTCCTTCTCGTCCTCATCCTTGTCCTCGTCCTTCCCTTGGAGGGACTTCAGCTCCTCCTTGGTGTGCTGTCGGGCCTTCCGAAAGCTCTGCACCAGCGCCTCGGCGCTCGAGAACACGCGCCCGATGACGCGGATCAGAGGGGAGTAGTCCTCTCGCTCTCGACATAATTCCAGGATTTCGTACACTGTTTCTTCTGTTAGGTAAGTCACATCTGAAAATTACAGGAAGAAAGAGGACATTTACTTTTCAGAATATATGTATGTGTATTTCATTTTAGTAAGTTCTAGGGAAAAGTAAAAGAGCCAACTGCTTTACATTCAGTACCATGTACAGCTTACAACCCTTTTTAACAAGCATCTAACACCTGGATCCAACGAAACATCACGCTTACCTGTTTCTCCCTCAACTGCTAGCAGCAAACAACTCACTCACCTTTTACATTCTTTCACTCACACCCATCCCGTAACGGGCTCAAACGCTTTCACACTCACCATACTTGTGAACACACGTGCTTAGACAGGACATGCCGGTCATCGCCAGACGCCGCCTACAACCTTGCTCCGGGGCAGGGACACTCCCGCTGACCCCACTGCCCTGCACTCAGGACCAGGAAGGTGAGCTCTGAGGGGAGGCTCCTCGGTGTCCTGGCAGAAACCGCTCCTGTCCTCCTTTCCTGCGTAGTGACGCCTAGCTCGTCCCCTCCAAACCTCCCTTTCAGTTCCTTCCAAGGTGCACACCCCGCGGGTGATCAAGAAGGACAGCCTGTCCCCGTACGCTCCCAGGCTGGCAGACACTGGCAGCGACCTCACAGAGTGCCAGGAAGGAGTCAAGAACCACATGCACACCAGCGTGCGAAGAACGTGGCCTGTGCGCAGACGAGCGCGGCAGACTGCTGTGTTGTCCGCAAAACCTGCTTCCCCTCCGCCCTGGGCCCACAGTCCCGGCCTCTGGAGGTCCGCGCTCCCGGCCACGCCTGTCTCCTGTGGGCTCACGAGAGGACGCTCCTGAGCTCTGGGAACCACAGAGACGGCAGGGCCGCTATGGCTACATCCACCAAGAGGCTACGGAACCTTCGGTGACCGGCCGCCACACCCCGTGCTCAGCTGACTGAGGGAGGACAACCGCCAATGCAAGGCAGCGCTCGAGAATTTCACATATGGAGCTTCACTAATATACCTGACACGGGTACACGTGAACTCGAAGTGCACAGCCGCAAGCAAGCGAACTACGCCTGGGTCCCTGACGGCCAGCTTCCATCAGGCGTGCAACACTCGGCCCTGCCACCCGGGGCGCATGCTTGCTGGGGAAAGGGCTGTGACATGGCAAAGCGACTTTCACGTCACGTATATTAACAGCGTTCCCCTCCTCACCTCGGTGTGGGTCTCATTCACACAACAGAACCACACGTTTATGGCGGGGAAACTGTCTCAAGCCACAAACACAGCTTTACTGTGGCAAGAACACGCGCTCCAATGCAACTCCATGTCACTGATGGGTGTCAACCCGACGGAAATGACGCGCTCAGAGGCTCAGCGGCATTCCCTGACTCCTCCGCACCCCGCACGGAAACCGTCCTCTTTAAAACTCAGCCACTGTCGGGAGGCCCGAGCCCGGTCGGTCATTCAGAAATTCAATCACCTTGTTCCTGGCACCGATCACCTTCACTGAGGGGAAGCTTGGAGTTGAGGATTTAAAAACAAAACAAAACAAAAAACGGTTCCAACTGGGAACCCAGTGCTGTCTAGAGAACAAAGCCAGGCCTGGGTACAGACTGCGGCTGGGCAGGCGCTGGCTCCGGCAGCGAGCGCCTGCCCACACCCTCCAGGGGCAGAGGGCGCTGGAGGGAAACCGAGAAGTGTGGTCAGGGAGCTATGGCGGGTTCCCCCAGCTCCCCGGCCTTCAGACACAGGAGACCGCCCCCTCTCTCCTTTCTCCTCCGCCGCCGCACAGTGCTGGGGCAGCAACCCACACCAGACGCCTCGCCCAGCTGCTCCGATGTTCCAACAGGCTTAGCAGCTTAACTACCACTTAATATACTTTTCCTAATGGAAAATATTTCAAAGTTCCATTGAACCCATGAACAAAGAAACTGTCCTAATAAGAAACCATCAGAACAGGGAAACATAATGAAATCACTGACTCAATTATTAGTTGTCCTATATCACCATTAAAATACCCAGTTCCACCCTTGCTGGTGTGGCTCAGTGGACTGAGCGCCGGCCTGTGAACCAAAGGATCACTGGTTCGATTCCCAGTCAGGGCACATGCTGGGACTGCAGGCCAGGTCCATGGCTGGGGGTGCATGAGAGGCAACCACACAGTGATGTTTCTCTCCCTCTCTCTCCCTCCCTTCCCCCCTTTCTAAAAATAAAATAAAATCTTAAAAACAAACAAACAGAACCCAGCTACACTATGCTATCATGTCCTGAAGCCACACGATCAGACACGACACACAAGCAGAACCCGCCCACTGCACCGAAACCTCCCGTCTGGCCCCGGTCACAAACTCCCCAGCAGAGACGAAGCCTCTCACCTTTGAAATCATTCCGTGCTGCCAGTCCCTCCTTCTTGTTCATTTTCACGTCAGAGCAGGAGTTGGCAGCGCCTTTCGAGTTCTCGAGGTAGGCCGAGCTGGCTCCTTTCTTGGAGGGGTGAGGATCACAGAGTTTTGCGTTAATCTTATAAAGCTCGAGGGCTTTAATAGCGGCTGCATTGTTATCCATACGGAGGAAAGATGGACAGGAAGCACAAAACTCATTCGTGCAGGCCTCATTCCCACAGCCCTCGGTTAACTGGTGGTAGTAGCGTTCTATTAGGTGCTTTGCAGCTGCTCGCTTCCTGTCCAGACATTCAAACAACAAGCACAGAGATTAGTGAGCCGCCCGGGGACACGGCTCCTCAGGTTTCAACCAGCAAGTTAGCCAAGCACTGACGAGGGAGCCTGGGCCCTCCAAACCGGGGGACGATGCGATCACTAGTTCCCAAGGTGCTGCGATGCTGCCCCAAATCATGTCAATGGAATACCCTGTCCTTTTGTTTAAAGGGTGGGAGGCTTGTTGGATGGTAAATGGAGTTAAACTGATTAGGAAAATCACCAGGTGGTCAGCTACGACATTTAGTACTTTATCACTTTAAGAATGAAAATTAAGAAAACGAGAGTCTATTTCAAGTGTCAACCCAGCTTTCCTTTGCATAGTCCCCATTCTCGTTCAGCAGTGCGTTAAATGCCTGCTTTATAGTTAACACAGAACTTTCACCTGGCAAAAAACATGCCTTCTCCCCCCCAATTATCTGCCAGATGGGGGATTTAAAAATAAATTTATAAATGAAACATCCAATACTGTGCTATCACACAATCTTGAACCAAAGATGTGTTGTTAGAACCTCACTGGGGAGAGAGGTACAGGGAATACGAAGCATAAATGGCAGGTACAAAACAGGAGGAGGTTAGGAATGATATGAGAATGGGAGAAGCCAAGGAACTTGAATGTACGAGTCATGGACACGAACTGAGGGGAAGGGAGGCCGGTGGGGGGGGGGATGCAGGGCAGAGGGGAATAAACGAGAAAAATAGAACTGTAATAGCACAATCGATAAAATTGTTTCTAAAAAACACTCTCCTCATTAATCTCATGTCACAGCAACATGAAATACCTTATATTCATCCCTCTTCCTTTGTGAATTTCCAGTAGGCAGACTAACGGTCCATTATACTGTCCCAGCAGAGCAAGAAAGGACAGTGAAGAAGGGGTCACGTATTTCGTCAAGCAGAAGCTGGGCCACATTCTCCACCTCTACAGCTAATCTGCTCGTAGGTGTCTGCGCCTGTATCTGACATGGGAGCTCCAGAAGTCGGGCACAGTAACCACTGCATCTGGAGAAGTGATTCGCAGCTACTCCCTCTATTCCCATGGTCACATGCATAGGGAAAAAATTACAAAGAATCGAAACCATAAAAAAAACTTCACCAAATTCTCCAACTGTTCCCTCGAGTATCTTACTACTACGCAGGATGTAAAGGCAACAGGCATTAAAGTCTTGCATCTTGTTAATTGTGAGATACATCTTGTTAATCTCGACAAATAAACAACTCACAAGAAGGCAAATAAGCGGTAAATAAGGAGAGGGGACATTAGTAAGTTTAATTTTTCCTCAAAAGTTGGACTTTGTCTCTCAGCTATCAAGGTGACAAAAAGTAATATTGCAAACACGTTGTAGTCATCCTGGTATTTGTATTTTTCAGATATTCCATGCAGATTTACCACTCACTGCATGCAAGAAGAGAGAAAAGAAAACCTGCCCCCCCAACACAAAAACTATGTAAACTTGACTTAAGAGATATATTACTATATGTAGCTATACATAAGCCCATTTGTAGTTACTGCTCTAGGTATATTTCTATGCAAAATAGTAAAGGGTCAGCACGGAGAGGAAGAGGAAGAGGAAGAGAGGCCCCGGCAGACGGACGCCCCACTAGGCGTCCTTCTGGACGGAAGGGGAGGCCGCAGCCCACGGCTCCCAAACTGCAGGAGCGCCCTCCGCTGAGACCCTGCACAGGCGTGGGCTCCTGGCTGTGGGAGACGTATGAACACCAAAAAGTGTGAGTATCGAAAGTCTCCAAAGTGGATCAGAGAATGAACCATACACATGATAGAAGCCACTGGTGGGAAATCATTGAACAATTTTGCAAAAATGCATTGTTTCTATGAAGTCTGAAAAAAATCCCCATGCCCAATGACATATGATGACTTAAGTGACTGCCATTTACACAATGGGAAGAAAATTGCCTTGACTGGAACTGGGCAGGGACCAGTTTTCTGCACACATTGCTGACTGATGAGCCAGTTACAGCCAGTAGGTGTGGGATGAAGCCAGTTCCACGTGTTGGTAGCTGTGCTGCTCTGAATAATGTAACTGAATGGGGTTTGGTTTCAAACTCTTGTATCTTTCTCCTTCTAATTGATTTCTTTTACGATAAACATTCTACTTGCATATTAAATGCTACTTGCAATTAATAAACATGAACAGAAAAAATGTTAGTTGGTTTTAAAACTTCATAGACATGATTAAATGGCCTCAAGGTTTCCTAAATTGCCCACATGATTTTTGAAAAATCAATCACCAAAAATCAAAATACCAAAACACTGTAGCTAATTTTCTAATAAAAATGCCAGGTTTTGTCCTAAAAAGAAAAGAAAAACCCAGCCACATGCGTAATGCACACGGGAGAGCGGGACGGAGGGCCTGGGAGCGGAGAGAGAAATCAGAGGACCGGGGGAAAGGACGCCCGTGCCCCCCGCCCGCCCACAGCTCTCGGACCCTGAACGGGCCCGTTTGCTCGGCCTCGACTCTCCTTTCCACCCCCCACTTTGGCCACTCCACGCCACAGAGCGGTGAGCGAGGCAGCACCGTCTACGGAATGCCCGATGACATCTGAGACACACCACTGACACCCTGACCTAGGTTATCGCGTTGAGCCCCAACTCCGATGAGTATCTGCAGTCCACAGCCAAGAGAGGACATGGAACCAAGAGGTCAAATCACACAGCCACGCTCACGCCAAGGTGAGAGCAGGGCCGGGCAAGCACAGGAGTCCGGGCGCCCTCTGGCTCCACCACCCATGTCGTTCCTCCTGCACCTTCTCACCGAGGCTGATGCCTGTCTAAATAATTCTCAACAGTAGTGCTCAAAACTTCTATGAAAAAAAATCCCATAAATAACGTGCAACTGAGAAAAAGTAAAACTACTTCTGGAAAACCGTGATTCGAATTTCATGCCCAGGCCCGCTGCCTGGTGTCACACACGCACCCCACTGCCCTCCAGGCAGCCGTCGGGTCTGCGACTCGCCTGCAAACCGCATGCACACCGGGCACTCTGCAGATGCCCCTGCCACGGGAGACCCAGGCGCTGGCAGCATGGAGCTCCCACTCAGAGGCCAGGCTGCCACGTGTATGTGCCAGATCGGCCACGCAGGGACTCCGCGACCTTCAACAAGCTCCTTCACATTTCTGTGCCTTCACTGCCTCCTCCTAAGATGAGGCCGCACAGGGGAAGTGCCCCGGCCAGCAGCGGATTTGGTGAGTCTGCGACATAAAGTGCCCAGGAGACTGCCTGGCACAGAGCAAGCCCCACCCTCCCAAGCCTGTGAATCGGCGCGTTCACCCTCACTCTGCTGATGCTCTCAGCGGTCATGTGACAAGCCACACATCTAAACAAGAGATGGAAACCCAGGCCGGACAACAAAACCCAGCTTGTGATACATTCTGGGGAGCTGGCCCCCAGGCAGGGGACAGGATGACCTGGTGACCTGCTTCCCAGCCCCACACGTGGAACCGGCAGTCCCACTTGGATAGGACTGACAGGAGGCCACGCCGAACTCTCCCTTCACCCAGGGGGTCAGCACAGTAACTGTTTTTCCCTTTTCCTCACCCCCACGGACCTTAAACTAGCTATGCACAGTTCTGTGTCCCTGCCAAGTTCAAAGCGTGTGAAGGCCTCTGAGCAGCCAGCGTGCTCCCTACTTACTACCAAGGACAGCGTGGCCGACGACTTGCAGGAGGTCAATCCCCACACAGCAGGGGATCACAGGGTGGGGCCCAACTGGCCACCCTCTTTGCAGAGCCCGCAAGCCAAGAATGGCCTGCACAACTTTAAGTGGCTGAGACGGTCAGGAAAAGAACATTCTGTGACATGGGACAAGTATGTAAGCTTTACATATCAGTGCCCACGCTCACTCCTCCCTGAATTGTCTGCGGCTGCGTCCACACGCCAGCAGCAGAACTGAGCAGCTGGGCAGACGCTGCACAGCCTGCGGAGCCCGAAATAAATGCCACCTGGCCCTCACGGAAAGTTCCCCGCGCCTTAATTTAGAGCCACGCTCTGTGCCCTCCCGGGACACTTCCATGTGACCGCGAGGCCTCCCCCTCGGCACACCAGTGCGGCAGCACGTGGGCCTTCCGCCACACTGGGCCTGGCCAGAGGAAGACCTGCGGCAGCGTCGTTGTGGACAGAATGATCACACGGGTGTGACAGTGTATAGTTTTAATTCGAACATTCCACTTCAAACGACCCAGGGTGTGCCTGAGTATGATGTTGTCATGTTCCAGAACGACAGGCTTATGATTTTATGGTAAAACAGGGGCGCTATTTTGTGTTATGTCCTGTGTAATTAAAGGGAAAAAAGGAAGGGGGGGGTAGAGACAGAGGGAGAGAAGAGAAAAGACGAAGTGCGGTGACTCGGAGTCTCCCCTTCCTAACCACGCACCAGGAGAGGGGCCAGGCCACGCTTCCTGTCATCTCACCTCTCACTGGCTCGTCTTACCATCTAAAAACAAAGTACTTAATAATCACGTAGATTTGTTAAAAAAAGGATGCTTTTCCCACAGAGTCAGTAATGAATACCCAGTGAGACCTTTTAGGGGAGCGAGTTCCCAAAGTTAAAGCAGACACTTAAAAAAGTACTTACTCATTTACAAGGCAGTACTTCCCCTTTATTTATCTCAGGTCCGTGACCGAGTCAGTGACCCAGCCCTATGAATAAACGTGCTGTAGAAGAGATCACATGCGGAGGCCGGAGCCGCCCCAGGAAACCTGCCCCAGACCCTGTAGAATGTGCTCTCTCCTTAGGGAGAGGTGCCACCATCGGCACCTGGCCCTGAGACGCGCTAAAGACAGGGGGTTCCGGGACTGTGGCAGAGCGGGGTCAGCAGTCACGGGAGGCCCCGGGTGGTGGGCCTACGGGGCGCCCGGTAAAATCCTTTCCACTTGGCTGCAGTGTTCTCCAAATAAAACACTGAGGGACACTGTGGCCCTGCTATCGTTTTTCAGAGAGGTTCCCC